CATTTTCACATTTTTTGCACTTAAATTTTCACTCGCTAATCTGCCATTTAACGACCAGCTTCCGTTTGCTAAATTATACACCAAATACTATAAGTAATCTGATATATGTCAATGCGTAACCGGTAGTCTATAGCCCGATACAAAAAAAGTAAATTGAAAAGCCGTCATCAACGTCAGTGCAGCTGATTGACTGACTGATTGTTTTCGTTCGGAGAAGCTCCAAATTGGAGGGGTGTAAAAAATTATTCAGCCTGCACTGAGATCTGATTAGTATTCTCACAGAATTTACGGAAAACCCCCTCGGACGACCGAACATGAAGTAAAAGAGGAACTAAAGTTCCATAAAAGTTCAAAAAGTGCATGCACAACGAATTATAAACGTGATATTTCGATCAACAACAAAGTCTATGGCTAATTCTAAGGCATTTCGAATATCACAAAAACAAACCTGAAATGCCTACATATAATATTAATTATATTTTAAAGCACTCACAAATTGATGTATTAAATAAATGCGACGTTTTTCATTCATTCATATCACAAAAAGTTGTTTTTAATTATTAAAACATGATTGGAATGTTTCAGTAATTTGCACAATATTAAAGTGCGTTGAGCGAACCCGTAAAAGGTCGGTTTTAAAAACGTCTCAAAGTTGTATAAACTCAAAAAATAAAATGTTGAACTCTTTTCAACTTTGCGGAGAGCAAACATTTAAGAAAACATATCTATTAAACAAGGGGCTTGGTTTTGAATATGTAAAAGATATTTTATGAATTGAAAAAAATAACTTTATATATGTAGTATTGAGACATATGCTCGCCAAAGATCTATAAATATTTCAAGCAATAAATTCTCCAAGATTTCCTCAAACAATTTCCTCTCTGCTGAGAGTTCGATGCAGGAAAATATTTTACAATTTCCCTCAGCCAACGCGTGGGTGTCGTCAACGCTTTATGCGACTTTGATTTCCCAACTTGACGTCACAGAAATTTCTTACGCACTATTTTTAGTCGCTTTCTCTTGAATAGTTTTATTTTCTATCTATAAGCATATCGATTAGGGATATATCTGGAATATATGCAAAGTTGAACTTGACAGAGAAACTTTTATTTGGCAAAGAATTTTCAACACCTTTTCATTGATTAAAAGCCAATCACACAAATGAGTCAACAAAGTGGCCAAGGCCACCGGAATGTATCTGTTGTATCTTGTAATTGTATCTCACGGAGTGTGTGTTTGTGTGTGCTTAGAGGGGTCACTGCAGTTTGTTTACATTTTTCAGGTGAAATGCCCCAGTTCCCTCTGACGTCAGAATGCTTCGATTGAATTACAACCAACAATCCACCCCACACCCACCGAATTACCTCCCATTCCGCCCCCTTGTCAGTTACCTGTCCGCGACACGTGATGCTAATTTTTCCCGTCGGCCTGTTTGTTTAGTTTTCATTGTGGGAAATCTCTATATCCCCTCTCCCAATATGCATCATCATATTTCCACCAAAAGGGAATCCCCATTTTGAGTTTTAGTAAGAAATTAAAGAAAATAATAGCTTACAATGCCCTTGAACTAGGCCGACTTAATTGGATTTTCGCTTAAGGCAACCGCTAAAAGTGTGTTTTTATGTGGATGAGCACCGGGCTCGTAAACAAATGCAAATAGATTGACTTTAATGAACTAACCGATTTGTGTTTGCAATATTTTTGTCTAGAAATTTGTAAATAAGGAAGAAAGAAGGTAGTATAAACAAATTCTCGGGGGGTTTCTATCATCAGCCAAAGAAAATTCAATTATGTTCGCATTTCTGGAATATTATTAATTGATGAGAAATCTTTATACTTGAAGTTTTAAGGGAAATATAAGTGAGGTGAAGTTATCCTATAAGTATCCTAAATAGCCTAAAATAAATCTAGGATATGCTAGGATATAATCTTCAATCTCTTCCTGCGGATTATATCTCCAAACTCCGATAATGATGTATGTGTAAGTTTAACCCCAATAAAGAATTAATGACTACATTATAACAACACCTAATAATTAAATCAAATATATATATAATACTCAAAAATGCAACAGGTTTGATAAAAAACATGTGTATAATATTATTCCTTTGAATTGTTCCGCTCATGAGCTTGAGGAGTTTCCTAAAGGGATCAGGGTCTTCACCTTAGAGTGCTTGGAGGGTCCGTGCAATCGATTCCACCTACTTATCAGTAGTTAACGTTTCTATTAACTTTTATCTATTGATCTAGAACATTTCAAATAAAAGGGGAATTCTTTTATTATTAAACACACATTGTTTTGCATTGCACAGACAATTCCCAGTTACGTGACTGTTTTTCATTTGGAAAAAGTGCGGCTTCCCATTTCGATTTCAAATCGAAAATTAATTAAAACAAAAACAAAATAAGGCATTTAGCCGGGGATTTTTACAGATTGTCTCGGGAAGATATATGTGGAAGTGCTCTGCGGTTGGGAAACTTGTATGTTTTGTTCGGGAATTTCAAGTCTAGTTCGGGGGCTTGGGGATCATGCCATAAATAAGTGTGTAGATCGTGTATTTTATGAATCGAATTTGTTTTTAGGGCCATGTTGACATTTGGCACGTTCCCGTGTCTCATCAAATTTACGCTTAACTCAGCACAAAGCTTTTCCCCCATCGAAAATGCAGTAACATGTTCTCCGCTCGCTGCTCCATAGATATTTCAGTTCCGAAGCTCGTGCAGGGCCTAATTAATCATTGTTTGGGCTTTTTAAAAACATCCAAAGGGGAAGTCTTAAATCACGGGAAGGGGGACCCTAGCCCCTGACTTTTTCAAAGTTTACTTTTCCCTTTTCTGATAATACCCATATGCACCACTGACACAAAACAGGAAAAGCGGCTTTGCAGTTTTCCACCTTGTTTGTTTTAGTTCTACATTTCCTAGAGTTGCTAGAGCTGCTCTTATTTATTGTTTTGTTATTACTTATTAGTTAATAAAGTGTATAGTGTTATACACTTTATTTATTTTCAAACAAAGTATAGACTTTTTGTAGAACACTTTCGTTGACGTCAAAAAGTATATTTTCGTATGTTCAACAAGTTTTTTTGGAATGTTCTGTTGTCTTTTTTTTGTACTCAAGCTAATCTATGTGATTTAATGAATGGTTTCTAAATATCCCGTGACCAACACACCCTTAATTAGGCTGACGTAAAATTGAACAGGAAATATATTTATGAAGCTAAGCATTTGACAATTCAAATATTTTCAAGTAATTTAATAAGAACAGGAAACTGAATAGATATTATTTTTGCAACAAGTTTCTATAGTAATTTTTAATGGTTAAAGTGGAAAATATATCAACGTTTATATTATATTTTTAGTAGAACAAAATTTGTTAAATGATAAAGAATTCTAGAATCAATCAATAGATTTTATTATTTAGCTCATACTTGTTCATTAGCTGAAACTTTATATCCTCATAAAATTTAGAATACATATTTTAGTATTTACTTTATTTTATTCTAGCATAATTATTTATATTTATTATTGGTTTATTTCAGTTCAAGATTACTGAAAATACTCAAAACAAACAAGAATGTCGTTTATTGCACCTAAGCATTATTATTTTAAATTCTTTTCAATATATATAATTTAAGTTAGTGGAAAATTTTGAAAACATAATATTTCTATTCTGAACACACACTGTTTGCTATACATATATTTGCACCGAAGACGAAAATGTACTCAAATTTGATCCGTTTTCCGTGATTTCTTTTTCAAATATTTTTCTATTTTTCCCTCTGCCTGGTAATTTATCACTTTGCCCGCTCTTTTCGTATAGATTTGCGTCTTTTGCGGTTTCTTTTGACAAAGCAAAACTGTTTGCCAAATCAGTTGCTCTAAAACTAAGTAAAAAAAAAGACCGGGTGAACAAACAAGCAAACTTACCCGCCGAGGAAAAAACAAAACAAGAACGTGCTTTGTTGTTGTTGCCTTCGCAGCTTCCTTGCTCGAAGTCGTGAACTTGAATTGTCCTTTGTGAGCGCGGGAAAGGAGACGGCTGCTCCTTTCTCTTCCAATTCTCTTGCAGTTGATTTTTTTGGTGTTGTGCAAAGAAAGTGCACGTAATTATGGTAAAATATACAGCGGCTGACAAAATTACAGTTCACACACACGCGCGAGGGGGGATTGGGGAGACACAGTTACTTGGACATGGACGAAACAGCAGTCCCTTTATTTTCTGGACTTTATTGAAAAGAGAACCGCGCGCGTTGGATTCGCAAAAACGACTGATAGCAGTTGATATAGACGGGCCTCCCTCGTCAACGTCGACGGCCGTGGCAGAGCACCGGTGGAGCGGCGGCGGCAGAGCGGTAGAAAAGCACTGCTGAACAAACACACACCGTTAGTACGTTGCTTTTGTGGGAAATTTTGCGCTCTTGTTCTTGTGCTCTCTTACATCTCTCCCTGCAGCTGTCGCTGTTGTTGTTGTTGCTGTTACTGTTACTGCCATCTCTCCATGTAATTATTTTTGTTGCTGTGTTTTAATCTTTCCATGTGGTTGTTGTTGCTGTTAGTTTATCTCCCTCAGATACTGTTCCTCCATCTCTCCCTATTACGGATTATGTTTAACCGTAACGTTCTTTCTAAGCTTAACGTAGAGTTGACGTCACAAATGGGAGGTTTGTGGAAATTCAAAGCCTGCGTGTGGAATTTCATCACGTCATTTAAGCACAGTTGTGGGCGGTCATGAAGGATGCTATTTGGCACGTCCTTGGCAGAGGACGCGCAGCTTCTTTTCGCGCACTTTATTACGGCTTACGCAAGCAACGTAAGCTTATCACGTAATCTGAAGCACTAGCAGGATAATTTCATGAAAGCCACGAACGATTGCTGCAAGGACTTAAAAAAAAGAAATAAAACAATATATAAGAAAATATATTAAAACTGAAAAAATTATAAAAATTAAAATTATCCAATTTAATATATACCTCGCCCAAATAAAGGGTACTTTCATATAGTTTAGCATAAAATTTATTTGGTTCCATTCCTTCGACTCTTGTGTCAACATTAAGCAACAATTGCGTCTTGCGGCCTCTCAGCTTTATATTTAAAATATTGATGTATATATTCTGGTGTATATATTGAATTCATTTAGCTTAAATGTATAATTATTCATTAGGTTGTTGAGTTGTTTAAATAATTGAAACGGTAGTTAGTTTGTGGTGTCTTTCTTCTGATAAGAGTTAACTACGAGTACTTGCCCTTAAAAACTGGAACTGGTCTCATTAAGTTGTGATTGCACTGAAAGACTTGCGTCCATCCATCGGTTAACTTGTCACTCTGCTTCTGCTTCCTTACCCGATACGCATTATGATATATATAGTTGTAACATAATTAAAGCATTCAATTGTCCATCTTGTTGGAGTCTACAATTCGCGCACTTTAAATCTTTCTTTCTACGGTTCCCGCGACTCGTTGAAGCCGCAGAATCGCCACTTGGCCTCATCCTTGGCTTTGAAGAGATTCGTGTATTTTCTGAGTATATTGGCAAGATCATCTAGGTTACTGGGGGCAGCGTTATTGTGGCAGAGCATTCCACTTAAGTAACTCGCTATGTTGGCAATGTCAACGCCATGGGGATGCAGCACCAGGTAGGCTGAGGCAAGAGCAATTATCTTAGCCTCGGAAAGGGCCAGGGATTTGAAGGTTTCCTAATATAATTAACACGAAATATTAATTTGGATAATTTTCTAATAATAATTATCAGAAAATTTCAAAAACTTACCTTTTCCCTGGGTGATATTGGAGTCTCCTCTGCAATGACATTACTTATGGTCTCCACATTGTTGACCTTAGAATTATTCTCTGTAATTGACTCTTTTTCTTTGGTTTCCACGGAGGCCGCCTTTGGGCCGGGTTCTTTCTCATCATCTTCGATTTCATGGATCTCCACCACACCGCTCTGGTGCTCTATGATCCTCACATCATCGTCCACCTTATCGATATCAATTATTTCCGGTTCCGTTTGTGGTCGCTGCCGTCTAACCCCTATGGCCTCCTGACTGCACGAATCGTCAGGGTCATAGTCGGGATTTGAGGCGTTGGAAGCGTTCGAAGCGGCACCGTTGCTGTTTTGAGCCTCCTTGTTCTTTAACTTGTCGGCCACCTCCTTGATTTTGGTCTTTAGCAGTAGTTGCTTTACGCCAGCATCCTTGAGATTCCGCTCCAGATGCTCTATGGTCTTGGTGTCCTTCTGTTCGCGGAGCTTGGTCTGCAGCAGCTGTGTCTGCATGTTGCGAATGGTTTCTTGGAGCACCTTGATCTGCTTCTCGCGCTGCACGTAATCGCTGCGCTCCAGATTCATCTCATGCCGAATGGCCTCCAGCTGACAGCGCAGAGAGTCGTTTTCGTCCTGAATTTAAGGGAAGGATTTAATAAAGTGCCTCTATTATATACTTAAAGCTTTAAATCCTTACCTTCAAACTATCGCTGTCATACCGCATCCTCTTGCCACCCGGTCCACGTCTTTCGTATTCCCGCTCATCGTCGGAGATTTCCATTTCATCATCGTCGGTGATCTGGACCGTTCGCAGTTCCTGCATTGGCATGCGAAAAATCTTTAGTTACTTTCCCATTTCTATCAGTTGGAACTATATATCGTTTTCATTTTGGTTCCATTGCTTATACAGATTATAAATCTAGAACCTAGCTATAAAATTTGCGTATTTAAAGAATGCATTAATCAAATTGGTTTCCTGTTTTACGACTCTGTACTGGTCCGCTTACTTACCTCGCCACATTTTTAAAAAGAGTTTTCGAATTTTCGATTCTTTCTTTTACTATTAATTATTAATTTGTTTTTTTGTTTCTTTGTTACTCAAAAATTATGTTTCTCAGCAGCAATGATTTTTTTAGTTCTTCTTTTTAGATTTACCACAACCAATCCGACAAATTTCCAAAGTTTCGTTTAAAAAACATTTCATTTTTAAATTTAAAAAAACTTGGAAAATTGTGGACACTCGTCTAAAGTTTACGTTTAGTTTGAAGAGTATTTAAAGCTTATTGAAAATGTTATGCAAATGCTTAGTAAAAAGAGAGAGAAACAAACAATAAACCAAAGATACACTGAAGCTATGAAAAGATATAGATTAAAAGCATTTTAGAAAAGAGGCGAAGCTATACATTGAAATAAACCTGATAGAAATAGACTAATGAATGGCTATGACAAGAAAACCGGTTAAAAAATAGATATACCATATCTTTAAACAGTTTCTAAAATTCTTAAATATACATTTTAAATTCTAAACAAGGTTAAAAACAAAGACTTCAACATACTCTTTCGAATTACATCTAGATTAGGTCGGGAATTTCGTTAAGTGACATCAGCAGAGCCGATAAAATGGGAATTTTGATAATCTTTCGAACAAACAACTAAATGACGTATTATGGCAAGGCACAAACATGAGAAAATTAACAATTAATGAACAACAATTAGCATCTGCTATGGAAACGTACAGTAATGGTTATATAGGTGAACGTGGCGACATGCAGACTGATATGGATAACACAAAATCGCATTAGTGAAGATGTTAGGACAACTACGATTACGATTACGACTACAGTAACTCCACAATAATAATAATAATAATAGGAACAGAGACAATAACACGAGCGATACAGTAGTGAATCGAGATTATTGGACAGTACATATGGCTTTTATACACAACATTTGGCAACATCTGAGATTGAGGTTGTTCTTTTTTTGATTATTTGAACATTTTAGTACGTACCGTGGCTAACTTCTTCCATTGATCGATGTTTTTTCTTTGGGCTTTGGTGAAATGGTCCCAAACCTTCTTGTGACTAGCGGCATTGAACACTTTTTCAATCTGAGTGACTGAACAATAATGCAATAATATATAATAATATTAAGGGAGGACAGAGGGTATTTTTGATGTTGTTTTTCTGGATTTGGAGTTCAGTCTTGCTCTTCACCTTTTTTTTGTATTATCATTAAATAACTAGACTTGTTCTTTTGCGAATCAAATGAGTGAGAAATTAAAAATTGAATTAATCTACAGGAGAGACCCTCGCATAGCAATTATATATGTAGTATATGTAAAATAGTTACGGTTACTTAAGGTTTAATATATATTAGGTACAATCTAGAGAGAATACAACAGCGTGATTGATTACCTATCTTTGGATTTGTCCGAGATCTGAGAGAGGGATTTTTGGGTCTACAGGAAGCTTATATTCCTTAACTCTGTCAGCAAAATTGTCTTGAATTTATTCTTCTTCGCCTTTGCGGCTTCTTACAAACCTTTGGGCCCAATAAGCAGACTTCAGCGGACTTTTGTGATGGTGTCCGAGGCACAGTAAAGGTGAATAGAGGATCAGCTGCACAGTGGAGCAAATCAGTGAATGAGGTGATCAAAGTGGTCCTTACAAAACTGGTAACTAACTTAGCTACAGTTTGTTAAGTCTTAAAAATGATTTTCATGATTTATTTGTAGTCAAACTGTAGACTTTTGGCACATTGGTAGAATTAGCGTCATATTTTCAATTTATTTTAAAATATTTATATTTAAATATTGCGAAATTAAATTTGTACTCAATTGCTTTAATGTTAAAGATCCTTGCTTAAAGCTCCACATATTGACCATACTTTGATCGCCTCTTCAACTCTCCTCCATTTTCATGCTCATTGTGCAGTTGTCTTTGGCTTGGTCCTTTTTTTTCGCTGGGCTTTACCTGATCCTGCTTGGATTTTTTGGGTTTGCTCCTTCGTCTTTTTGGGGCGAGCAAATTTTAGACAGTGAGTTCTTATATGGAGTTTTGGCATTTAATATTTCGATGACTAGTTTTGCTAGAGTGTGTGTGTGTTTGGTGGGCATGGTGTGTGTTGTTCGTGTAGGAGGTGTGTTTGTGGAACGCTGGTAGATTGTTCAGATATACAGACGCTAAGAGGCTAACCCGGGCGCAACGAAAATAGAAAAATAGGATTTCAAAGTGGGAGCGGCACCTATGTAAATTCCCGTCTAGTCTAAGAGCTAAAGAAGCTGATCTGCCACTGGCCGATCGGTTGGAATACTTACATTGCGTTGACATGGTGCCCATCTGTTTGCGGTAGCTGTCCCTGGCCTTCTTGAGATCCTCCTCTAGCTGCAGCTTGTCTGCGTGGAGACGCCGCACATGGGCGTGGGTGCTCTGGATCATCGAGTAGAAGATGTTGGCATTACGCTTGGTGCAGTCACCGCGCTCCAGCCAGGCGGTAATGGTCTGAATGGCCTTCACGAAGGTCTCATTGGTGCGCAGATGCTCCGCCACGGCCGTTGCCTCATGGTCCGTATAGTGGGGGATTGGTGGCGGCGACTGCGATCGCATTCTGTCCAGGGACATGCGCTCCCGATGCCGCTGCTCCCGCTGCTGTTGTCTCTGGCGGCACTCGTAATCGTACTGATCATCCCGAGCCTGGGCATAGTCCACATGCAGACGTCCAAAGTTGGGCGGTTCGTTTAGCGCCGAAATCCGCAACCTATAACCGGATAGGTAAATGGCACGATCTATGGCTGTCTCCTGGCGATAACGAATATGGCAGAAGTTCTTCTTCGACATGCGCAGCGTCGTGATCTCGCCACACGACTCAAATATCTCACGGATGACCTCATCGGTTATGTTCTCTGGCAATCCGCCCACAAAAACAGTCCGACAGCCGGGCGGACGATCGCGTATGGTGGGTGGCGGAGCATTGGGGTTTGGCGGGAACAAAATACAATTCTTTGTCTTTATAACCTCCTTGAGCCCAGCCGCTCCTGTGCCATCTAAGGGAGTGGTTCGCAAATGGATAATGGGTGCTTAAGAACATAGCAACTCTCTGATCTAATCTTACCCGCTGCAAGGCCTGCTTCTACGGTTGCTCCGGCATCCGATGGCATTCCCGCCGCCGCAGCCGCGGCATAGTGCATCTGTTGCATCTGCTGCATGGCCGCAGCCATCATGGCCGTGGGATCCATAAGCATCTGGGCATTGGTGTTGCTCCCACCCGAGGCAGCAACTGCCGCTGCCACAGACGAAGCGGACGTGCCTCCTGTAGCGGACGTGCTCCCGCCAGCGGGACCGCTGCCAGTCTGGATGGCCGGAAAGTACAGATAGCCGGGCGGCGTTTGCATCAGTCCGTTCAGGTAGAGCTGTGCCGAATCCGGCAGAGAGAGCGCAGCAGCAGTAGCCTGCATCTTTGAGTCCTTGTGGCTCGTGGTGGACGTCACGTCCGCGGTGTGTTCGTTCTCATTCTCCAGGTCCATGGGAGCAATGCCCTGCGGCTGTTGCTGAGGCTTTATCGCCTTATTGTTGGATGCTTGCTTGGGCGGCGATGTGGCTCCCATGGTGACGGCACCTCCTCCGACGCCGCCGCCGCCACCGCCCGCAGTGGTGGTGGCCACCGTGGAGATGGCAGCCGCCAGTTGGTTGAGGAAATTCGGGTGATTTGGCAAACTGACGCCGTTCGGCATGGTCCCAAAGAGCGGTACTGCAAGGGACCGATAAGATTGATTAGCGAAAAAAACCAGTATAAACAAAGCCGGTAACAAAACAAAATAACAATCAGCTGCGGAGCCCCAATATTCTCGATTACCACTATTTTTTTTCTCTTTGGGGGGTGGGAGCTCTGAAAAATGGCGTAAGTGCCTCCGCTGATTACAGGTGCATATCACACAAATGGTCATTGTTCCGACTTTTCTCGAGCTAGATTTTCACTCCTGACGCCTTGTTTTACGTTTTAAGGAGTTATTTAACTAATAATATTAACACTTACGCATATTATCGCCCCCGCAATTGTTCGCCAAAGTAGTGTAAAAAAATAATTTCCCTGTAGCGAGGAGCGACCAGATCACGATAGCTATCGATAGGCTGGGCATTCCGAAAACAATCGAACTTAGTCGATGTACTCCCATCGCTATTATGAATCATCAGCTGTCGTCAGATTTTTAAGGAAAAACAAACCAGCATTCGAAACGTAGTTGAGGAAAATTCGTGTAAATTTCGGTTTTAAACCAATTCACTATGTCGGTGAACACGGCCCATGCCAACAATGGCGTGCTCATCCACGCTGGCGAGTAGTAAGTATCCGGGGAAACCCCAAAATGTTAAGTATTAATCGGGATCTATAGCTGCGGGTGCATAACGTCACAAATGTAAACACTGACGTGTTGATTGATTGATTGATGGATTGATATATGTTATTGATGCTACCTCTTTATTCCTATTTCCTTTCCCAGCATCCTGTTGCACAGCGACAGCGTATCCATGGAGTTTTCCGGCCAGGACAGCCCCATCTTCAAGGGCTCAAAGGGGGGCAGAATCTACCTGACCTCCCACCGGATGATCTTCAACAACAAGAAGTCTTCGGATGCCATGCAGTCGTTTAGTGCTCCGTTTGTCGCCCTGTCGGACGTGGAGATTGAGCAGCCGGTTTTCGGGGCCAACTACATCAAGGGAAAGGTGCGCGCCCAGCCCAACGGCAACTATGTGGGAGAGGTCAAGTTCAAGCTCCACTTCAAGGCCGGCGGTGCTATAGAGTAAGGAAATGTGCCTAGCTATTATTCCTTACCTAATTGAGAATTTCTTTAGATATGGCCAAGCTCTGTTGCGCTCCGCCAAGACGGCAATGAACAACTATCATCGAGGCGGTCTTGCTGGCGATGATCCGCCACCTTACCAGCCGGCTGGAGCTTGGAACGAGGCACCACCACCGGCATACCAGCCGCCACCAGGTTACTACGGCTGGCTGCCGCAGCATGACGCCTTCAGTGGCCCGGCTCCGAATACGGTGTTTATGAGCGACAATCCGCCGCCATATCCGGGTATTGGTAAGTACTCTGAGGCACTAGACACTTCATCCAGGCAGCACTACTCGGCTTTTGTTCTGGCACAATGTAACGCGAATTGGAAACAGCCTTGCTTAACCCACCTCGAAACGAAATTCACGCACCCCACACGCTTCGTTTAACCCATTGGGGCACTCTCTCTTCCATCTCTTGTCTTAGCACCACCGGCACCCTACCAACAGCCAGCACAACCACAGCAGCCGCAGGCACCGCCGCCGTCTGAACCTACTTGGTATGGTTTTTCAGCACCGCCACCACAGCAGCCGCAACAGCCGGGCTATGGACAGCAGCAGCCAGGTTTCGGGCAGCAACAGCCCGGCTATGGACAGCAGCAGGGCTGGGCCGGCGGCTATGTTCAGCCACCGCCCTACGCCGCTTGTGGACCGGCGAATTGCCCACCGGGTGCTCCGTATACGCAACCGGCCCAGACCTATAATGGACCACCGCCGTACGGTGGCTATGGTAATGTGCCCGGCGGATTCAACACCCCGGGACTTCAGCAGCCGAACGGTTATCCAGGTGGAGCACCGCCACCTAATCAGCAGCCTTCGCAGGCTGCAGGTGCCGCTGGAGGAACTGCCGCTGCGGGAGTGAACTTTATGGGCTTCAGCCTGCCACCAGGAAGTGAGTAAAATTGAAACCTTATTTATTTAATTTGTTCATTATCATTTCCCTTCTTTAATAATGCACATTTTATAATTAGTTTTAACATTTTCTGAAGGAGCCTTTCAAAAAAAGAATGACAAGTAATCAAAAAGAAATATTCAAAAACGTATCAAGCGGATAGTAAAGCATGCACATAAAACAGAAGCCATCAAGTATAAGTAGTAGCATTAAACATCAAGAAGTGTTTAAAAATGAATAGTGTAGAACCTAAATGATCCTATTGTTATGAAAAACTAATCAAGAGATGTCAAAAACCATCAAAAACTGTATAAACTATCTAAAATCGCAGCAAGAAACTTTCAGATAACTTTATTTGAATTCTTATTTGACCAAATTGTAAGAATATATGTTAAAATGTAGTTTGTTGAAAAAATTCCCATATACAAGAAGAATAAACTGGTGTTTAAGTTTTAGTATGTATTCATTCTCCTTTTGCTTTTCTTTAAGTTCCCTCATATACTTTGCACCTAATACGAAATAACAATACACACAAGAAAGATTTACAAAATTTATTTACAAAACCCTAAAGGAAAAACTTTATTCTTTTGACCCATTTTTTACAGTGTAATAAAAGCAAAAAACTACAGTACCTCAAAAAGCCATGCCCCAACAAGTAAGACTTATTGTTTTCGATGTTAACCCCTCTAAGCCCCAACATGCAAATACTAACAAAAGCCGAGTCGTCAATTAGTTTAGTTTATAGCGACTTTGTTTAACGTTTGTTTCTTCTTTAACTTGTTCTTTACCTTCCCTCGAACCTCACAATATGCGAACCTTTAGTAGCAAGATTTGGCAGCACTCATCATTATTTCTATCCAGTCCAAAGACCGGCTACCATGTGTGTTTTTCTGGTTCCAGCTCTTATACCATAAACACAAATTGTAAGAGATGTAAATGGAATATTGTCACAACCATGAATTTTCTGGAAAATCTACTTTAATTTTTTGTTTAATTAGCTGCATTCTCTATATTCCAAACAGATTCCAAAGAAGCAGAGGCGGCAGCAAGTGCATATAATACCCCATATAACCAAGGTGGACCCAGTGGATCGGGAGGCGGTGACATGCCACCTTCGTATAATGTAAATATTGCCTTAAATCTAAAATTAAACATCTTTATTAATTTTATTTCCACGCAGAACTTGCCACCCAGCTATGATGATGCCTCGAAAAAGCACCAGTAACTATTATTCCCCTATCGAAAAATATGAATATTAAACGTAACAATCAGGGACTCTCAAATACCAGTTAGTTATTTGTATTTCTTTTTAATAAAACTTGGAAATAAAAATGTATTTCGAAAGTAATTATTATTTCCGCGATTTAATAAGAAGAATCACAAATTTAAATGAATTTTAAAATCGAGGGTCCCTGATAATAATCATTCATTCCTTTGAGGTTTGTTCATAAACAAAATCGAGTTGAGTATTGTTGTTTTTATCCATTCTCAAAAGAGTTGTAAAAAACTGTTGATCTGTTTTTTATTTATACTGTTTTTAATTATTCTGGTCACAAAAATAAAATTTGTTTTAAATTTGTACATTTATTGGCTCAAGTTTTTGTTTTTTTTATACAAAAATAATATTAAAAAACGTTTGTTATACGAAAATTATGTAAACATATTTTATAATCTATTAAATGTGTATGGCTACAAAAAATATATAAACTTAATCAAGCTGCAATCAGAGTATATATCCTGGACTGGGCTCATTAAGTACATTATTTGCAGCAGAAATATCTTCGCGACCTTGGCTGGAATTTATTTATTTAATTGTTAGGTTAAACCATTAATAACTATGAGATAGATTTAAATGTAATCATTTAATCTTTATAAGGATTATTGTTTTAGAATTATCTTCCTTGAAAATACATTTTCCAAAATAATTGTTTTAGCTAACTTTAGCTAATGTGGTCAGATTGCAAAACAAAAAGAAGAAGCTTTCATTCAGAAAAAGACCACCCTTTCAGCAAGTGAACAGAACAACAACAGGCTTATTTTTGGTCCGATAGCCAACGCGGTTGAATAAAATCAATCATACGCCACATGCGCAGACGCGGGCGTGGTGAGAAAAATGCCAGGACATCGGCAAAGCAAAAGGCTGACGAGCAGATGTCCCTCACGGAAAGCGGTTTAAATAAATCAAATAAAAAATAAAGCCACGAATTAAGGCACTAATAATTGAAGGCTTTTCAAGCTCAGTATAGTATTAACGGCTGAAAGTGCACATATCAGCTGAGTGTCGGGGTGGCTAATTGCGAGTTCAGCCACTTGTGTCTGTTGTTTATCGATTTGTGTATAACGTTTGCTTCGAATCTGCAACAGAGAGTCCTCATGCCAATCTGGAAAACAATGCCAAGGTCCGGCAGCCAACGAGTAGTTTAACCACCAAAGGACATAACTTTGGATAAGGTTTTGAGGAGCAAAACAACAGCAACGGACCATGGATGGGGGTGGACAGGAAACCACATATGAACCGCTGGACGGTCGTGGCTCTGGCCGTTCGAGGAGTAGTCATTCACCAGCTGGTTCGGGCCTGAGACATCCGGCCAGCATGGACAGTCCCGAGTTCGATACGAGGGCTCCAAAGGATCAAAGGCACTCCGTATACCTGGCTCTATTGGCGGCGGGCATTGGTTTTGTTTTGCCTTACAATAGGTGAGAAATAGTTTAAGGAAGGTGTTTAAATTTAAGAAATCATAATCATTATGCCCGAAAGTAAATTTAAGGAGTAATAGCAAGGATTTTACGATTTTAAATATTTTGTAGCATACTTATTTGCACCATTCCATTTTTTCCTGCTTACAGCTTCATCATTGCTGCAGATTACTGGCAGGCACGTTTTCCCGGTCGCCCCGTGGCCCTGGACATGTCGATGACGTACATTTTCGTGGCATTCGCCACTGTATTGTTGAACAACATTGTGCTCTCTTTGGCGCCATTCCAGTCGCGTGTGCTCTTCGGCTACATGGTGTCCTTCACAACCCTAATCTTTGTGGCCGTATGCGAGGTGGCCTGGCATATGTTCGCCCAGAATACAGCGTACCTGGTGAATATGTCGGCGGTAGCATTGACCGCCATCGGTTGCACCGTGCAGCAGTCCAGCTTTTACGGCTTCGCCTCGATGCTGCCGAAGCAGTATACCCAGGCGGTGATGGCCGGCGAGAGTATTGCCGGCTTTCTGGTGTCTTCCAATCGTGTCGTGACCAAGCTGCTCATCAACAATGACCGCGTCTCCACGGTCATCTTCTTTCTGACCTCCACGCTCTACATACTCTTCAGTTACCTGCTGCATGTGGCCACCATTAATTCGCCGTTTGTGCGGTTCCATGTGGAGGCCTGCTCCAAGATTGTCCTGCGGCCGGATGAGGTAAGTCGGCAGGAGAGACTGTGTTTTAAGAAATAGTTGCCAACGGTTCTTGTTCTTTTAGCAGGAAGTTGATGGAGCCCCAAGTGGCACTCGGTACGGAGTGCTCTCGATGGACGGCACTCACACCACAACCACATCGGTGGGACAACAGGGCACCGGAAACGCTCTTAGCTTTAGTAATCCCGTTTACGAGCTGTCTAATCCAACGGCCGGCGAGAGCAGCATTGAGGGCCTGGGTCAGTTACCAGAACTTCCAGCCACGCCTCCTGCACAGGAGCCCACAACGCCCACGACAGTGGCCTTTAAGGTGAGCTTTTAAATCTACTTTCTATCATCCCACTTGAATCAATAATTCTTTCTTTAAGGTGGAACACGTGATTACTCCGCGCCGCTGCCGGCCAAGCAAGTTGGGTGATATCCGCGAGGGATTCGTGACTCGATGGCGGGTGGCCCAGGTCATCTATCCGCACATGGTATGCATCGCCCTTGCCTACTGCGTGACCCTCTCCCTGTACCCGGGCATCGAGGTGGAGGTGCAGTCGTGCGCCCTCCGCTCCTGGATGCCAGTGCTGCTGATGTTCTGCTTCAATACGTCGGACGTGGTGGGAAAGATTCTGGCCGCCAGTCCCTATCCATGGTCGCGTCGCCAGCTGATCCTACTGTCCGGCTTGAGGATTGTCCTGGTGCCGCTTCTTCTCCTCTGTTGTGCGCCACGCCAGCGTCCAGTGATCTCCGGCGAGACGGCGCCGTTTGTCTTTACCATTGCACTGGGTATTACCAACGGATTGGCCGGCAGTTTGCCCATGATGCTGGCTCCTGCCAAGGTACCGGGAACGCTTAAAGAGGTAACTGGAAACATTATGACCCTGTCGTACAATGTGGGCCTGACGGTGGGCTCCCTAATTGGTTACTTGTTCGAGAGCATGCTGGGTCCACAGCTGGCGAATCCTTGCCCCTCGTATCCCTATGTTCCCGCCTCGATCCTGGAGCAGTTCCATGGCCATGGCCATGGACACGGTCATCTGCCGCATCCGCTGCCGCTGACCAGTACGAGTACGGTGAGTCCACCGACCACAGGGGCCACCACACTGGCCCCGCTCCTGCTCAACACGACGCTGGCCAGCCTAACGCAATCCAGCAGCTCCACCACCAGCACCGCCAGTCCTGCCCTGGCCACAGTGATCACCACCACAGCTTTGGCGCTCTACAGCACAGTCGCATCAAGCAGTGCCGAGATTCTCAACGCCACCATGACTTCGATCTTGTCCACAATCACCAGTTCGGTGGGTGATATCAGCGATGAGATGACCACGGATCCCCAGACACCCGAGGCTCTGGTCGAGAATATCTAAAGATCACTGAAGCACGACTCTCTTTTTGCATATCCTTTCTTTATAAGCTTAACCGCAAGACTACATTGGATATCATTTAAGCATCATTTACATATTTATTTATTATAAACTTCTTACAAGGAAGAGCGAGTAAACTTTTCATTCCTTTTGATAACGTACTACCAATATCAAAGGATAAGAAAACTATCTTTCATGTTTCTGGAGTTCTCTTAAAAGAATGTGTCTGCTTTAGGCCTTTTCATTTTCCCTCGAACTCTTAAATCTTTTCGAACAAATCACATTGAAAACGAGTAAAAAATTCAATTGAAAATTACCCTTACTAAAAGGGTATAGTAAGAGAAATCCATTTATCTTGAAATCCTTTCAGTAAAGTGATCCATTTTGCGAGTATATATATATTTCAGCTCAAGATATACAAAATGTGAACAAAGATTCCAAAGAAAAGCATGCGCAAAACTTCTTACTATAGGCAATACTACTCGTGTACGTACTTAGTTCTATAAACTATATGTATTTATATCCTTAAAGTGTCTAGGGTTTGGTGTGACATCTAGGACCCGCACATTACTATCCGAATATACTCCAGACAAGTGCTATGGTTTTCAAATTATAAACCTGTTGACTTAGAGTTACGTACTTAAATCTATGTGTGAATCTGTGTGTGATCGAAAAATGTGGGGGTGGTTATTTTTGTAAGAGTGAGAAATAGTTGATGGCACAGAAGAGCAGCTTTAGGAATATATTGCAATCAAAATAAGACATGTTATTAATTAGAAAATTAATACAAACTATGTTTCTTTCATAATTGGTTTTAATATTGTTTTTTTTTTAATGATTTTTGTATAAACTAGAGAAGAATGTGAGTCATTTGAGTGTGTCGTCGGGTAATATAAGTGTTGTAAGCATTAAAAGCCATCAAGTGCTGCAGCTGGCCTTAAATTGTTCTGTTGCTATTTAGTAAATCAGTTTTCTTTCCCTGCGATTGTTTTGGCTATATACGTAGAGAGGAATTTGTATCGATAAGTAAAAAATATGTCAACCTGCAGAGAACATTACAAATAAATGTTAATATAGAAGTATTTCAATATACTCTTTATGAAGTTATATTTTCATTGGGGTGAAAGGTGCACAGCAATACAAAATACACAAAAGAATAGAATCAACTTTTTAAATCGAAAAGAAAAACTCTCTAGTTCATTTTCGGAGTTTAACCATTATTTTCCCAGTATTTATAAATACTGTACCTATTTGTCAGGCAGGGCTCTTTGGTGATTTTAAAGGACACTTTAAGGGGTGTAATATGCATTAGGTTTCTGTCAGTGAGTAGCGCCATCCTGTGGGATTTTAAGGCTCAGAATCTCTGCCAACTCTTTTCAAATTATACATTCCAATGCAGTTGGCAGGACTATTGTTTTTGAAAATCTCACAGGATGGCGCTACCATCTGAAAAATATTTCCTATAAAGGATATAACCCTTGTTTGCGTTTATACCGTAAATTCTATAACAATCTATAAAATAACTACCCTAAAAGGATAAAAACCTGACTAAACTATAAAATTTAGGACATTTTTATAATAAAGCGGGATTTTTATTTCCGTACAGACCCAAATTTCCTTTCAAAAATTTGTTTTCATTATTTATTTTGAAAAAATATTTATATTTATTTATATTAATATATGGAAATATAAATTTCTTCTGCTTTTATCAAGGTTTATTTTTTCTTCGAATTTATTGCAACTTCCAGTCTCTTCATAATAGCTTCTTGGTCTTTTATCAAATCGTCTTTTTCCTTTATTTTGATAGTGTCCAAGTTCTGCCCCATTTCTAAGAGAATTATCTGATCGTCTTTTTGTCTTATCTGAGCTTGGAGCGTCGCAATAAGTTTTTTATTATCCTCCTCTTTTTCTTGATAAGATTTAACTTTTTCTTCCAGGCTATCGTTATTTCTTTGCAGTCTTTCTAATAATGCGCTTTTGGAAAGCTCATCGGCTCGTTCCTCTACAGATTTCTGGTTTATTACCTTTTCATTACATTTTTGGTTTAACTCATCTTGCAGCTTTTTGATTGCAACAGCCTGAGCATCGAACATTTCCCTGTTTTCTGACTTTAACAGGTTGTTGGTCGTTTTCAGTGCATCAATTATGTCATTTTTGTCTTTAATTTTATCATCATATACGGCTATCTTCACATTGGCAAGCATCAAGTCCATTTCCGATTTTCGTAACTGATTTTCCAGATCAGCAATAAAATTATCTGCCTTTGCTTCAAACTCGTTACACTCGCAAGCAGTTACAACACATTTCTGGTAAGAAAACGATTAAATAAAGTAGAAACAAGAAAGGAAGCTAACTTCGTCACGCCGAAGTTTATATACCCTTGCAGATAGAACTTCTATGAATAAAAAACCATACAATATAAATGATATATATTTGTGTTAAAAAACAATGAAGTAATACTTGCTTTCATTGTATTCACCTATACATATTATATTTGCAGTTTTACATTCAAAGATTTGCATTTTTCCTCTACATCAAACGATCGTTTGTATGGCACCTATATGATATAATAGTCCGATTTTCATGAAATTTGACACAAAATTTAAGACTAATATAAAATGCCTATACCTAAAATTTGATGAAAATCAGTTGAAAACTGAAAAGGTTATAAATTTAATTGTATTAATTTCTCGATCGTTCCTATGGGAGCTATATGATATAGTAGTCCGATTTTCATAAAATTTTATGCAAAATTGTAGAGTATAGTAAAATGGCTATATCTCAAATTTGATCCAATTCTATTGAAAACTGAAAAAGTTAAAAAATTTTTTGTAAAAATTTTCCTATCATTCCTATGGCAGCTATATGATATAGTCGTCCGATCCGGCCCGTTCCGACATATATACGAGTGAGAGTATATAGAAAGCTAACTACAAAGTTTCATTCAGATAGCTTCAAAACTGAGAGACTAGTTTGCGTAGAAACGGACAGACGGACAGACGGACAGAAGGACAGACGGACAGACGGACAGACGGACATGGCTAGATCGACTCGGCTGTTGATCCTGATCAAGAATATATATACTTTATATAGTCGGAGGTGCCTCCTTCACTGCGTTGCAAACTTCTGACTGAAATTATAATACCCTGCAAGGGTATAAAAATAGGAAACTTATCTCCAACTTACTTGAGAAAATTCCAAATCTTCTGTACTTTCGTCAGAACTATAATAAGACAGAGTCCTTTTACTTCTTCTGTTCATGGTTAAAGAACTTCAATTCAACTGCAGTGGATCGTAGGCAAAGCTGAACTAAATTGATAAACACGTATTTAATCATTACATTGCTGAAAGTTTCAATATCTTATCGAATGTCTAAGTAAAAGTTGTAAACTGATTAAAACTGATTAGGCATTGTTTGAATCAGCTTCGCCTTTCCTTAGTTTAGCCCCCGGACTTAAATCAAAATTTTCTATTTATATGTAAATGAATTAATTTAAAAAATGTATTATTTCTTTAATTACAAATAGCAGCGCGCCTGGTGAACATTCTGCATTTGTCGAGTGGCCAAAATGAATACAAATTGAATCAATTAGATGGAAAATCCGCCTCCAACTGGAAATGAAAGCCAGAGATAAGGCTTGGGGAAAAGCGGAGGCGATTGGCTCCGACCAAATGCAAATTTATTTATTTTTTCACCCCCACTCTCCATCTCTCTCCCATTCCCTTTGGCCAAATCAATGGGCGGCATTTTCCATTTAGCCGGCGGAAAAGTGCCAGGCAAAACAGGTTAAGTCGAGAGGACACAACCCGGAACCAGGTCCAGCAACAAAGTAGGCAATTAAATTTATTTTATTTTTCGTTCTCATTTCGTTTCTCTTGGTGTTTTTTTATGTATTTTTGTTGTGACTCAAGAAAACGGCGGAAAACGCAGACAACACTTGCGTTGAAGGACGAAAGCGGAAGCGGAAGCGATGGGGAAACTCCCTGCAAAACTTGCCGCTTTTCGAAACCCTTACATTGCGGAGATAGCGGAAGTGCTTGGCCGTGTTTTTTGGGCCGCCCCGATTGCATATGAAGAGACTTTTATCGATTGGGCCTGCACTTTGCGCATCGCACTTTGCCTACATATTTAGGTAGACTTGCACGTTTCGACTCTTCCTTCGACGCAATGTCATTGTCCCCGGGCGACGACTATTAACCCCTTGAGTCCGCAGGGGGCTTTCCCTCAATAGTATATCATTTCCTGTGTATAGGCAAGGTCAATGAACCAAATGCTATGATAGGCAACAAATATCAAATTAAAAGTCAATCAATTATTCAGTATTTGATGTTGCCCCAGGAAACGTGTAGTTCAATTAGAATGAAAACCAGTTTGTCTAACATTTACTGGAAATTAGATTGTAAAGCATTTCATTTAACTAGTCATATTTTAAAGTTAGCTTCATCTTTGAGTACTTTCCCTTAACGATAACAAAAATCTCTTTGAAGTACAGAGAGAGAGAGAGAGAGCAAAGGTCGAATAGTGAACCACATTCAGCATTTGCAGAGCTTCCGCCACATAAATTCCCTTCGAATGGAGGCCAAAGGCATGGAGCTTAGGGGGGTCCTGGGAGCTGGTGGTATCTCTCCTCGCTAGTTTTGCTGGAGTAGAAGCCAAGCAGAAGAGCAGCAGCACCAGCAAACTACTTCTAATAACAACAATCAACGCTTTCGCCTCGGCTCTTCGGGTTGTTTGGGTGCTGTGTAATTACATGACAACAACAGCAACAGACAACAGCAGCAACAACTTCAACTGCAGCAGCAGGAGCAGCAGGAGCAGGAGCAACATTACGAATTACGATAATAATTTCCATTTCTAATTTCCTTACCACGCAAAAGGCCTTTGCACTTGCCGAGGTTGCCAGGCTGCCAAGCTACCATCACCCGCCAGAGCCACCCACTAGGCTTCCGGCAACAACAGGCTAAACAGGCTACAAGTACACTTGGCCAAAATATGATAATTGTTTTGATAACTAGAAAAAATAAAGAAATTGATGGACACAAAGCTATGGCCATAAAACTCTTTATTTCAGTCTTTCATAGCCATAAAATAGTGTCCATGAGCTTCTATATTTATCATATATTTTAAATACAGAAAATTGAATGCTGACGATTATCTTTCCAAAACAGCTACACATATTAGCTTGTTTATTATTTTAAGGCTCCCAAATTTATTTCAGTGTATGAGGGGAATTGTGGGAATGTGGCCAAGAGCCGGGGCCAGACGTTGGCATAATTTCGATGCAGAAATCTAACAGAATGCAAATGCAATCATTGACTTTTTAGCTTATAACGAAATAAGCGTTGTGTTTATTGGTTGGCTGAACCAGCAAGCACTAGACTCGACGCCCCCTCTCTCTATACTCATTCCCCCTTCTCGTGGGAAAATGGCAGAAAATGGGATAACACTGCCCAGGCACTATGGCAAGTGCAGTTGTACATTCAAAGCCTCGGCATGGCCACCAAGTGGGTGGTATTGATCGGCCTGGAGGGGGGTGGGAAGGCTAAGGGTGACGGCCTAAGCCTAAGGTTGCGCTCAAATGTGCACTAGAAATGTTAGGGGGAAGGGGGTCAGAGATAAAATTCTGAAAATTTATAGAGTTTAAAAGAAATACATGGAAATTTATTTAAAATTTTGGTTCCTCATTTCTGTTAACAAAAATGTGTTGTTACTTTATTATCATTCACACTGTTTATATACATATTTGGATATCTAAAGTGTTTTATTTTATTTACATTTAAAACTCAAAATAATGTAATTGGCATCTATAAATAGTTATATTTATGAATATTAAAATGAATGCTACATTTTAGAGTTTAAGAATAATTCAATTCTTCTTTTTAAGCAAACAAACAACAAAACCGTTTGGTAATAGAGCTGAAAATAATCCATATTCTTTACATAGGAGTTATCTAAGATTCTTGAGAATTGTCTTGAATTTCCGCATTCCTTATATATATTTATATTTATAAATTGTGTTACTTTATTTGAATGTCGAGTAATGATTCCTTAACTTCCTATATAGTATTGATTTGTGAAAATTGTTAAATGCAGTCTCAGTTCATACACTTCATAAGGAAATTAATTCAAAATCAAACTTAAGTAAGTTTAGAACATTCCCCCAACCGAAGTCGTTTAGTATTAGAGCTCAAAATACTCCATATTCTTTAAATTATCCAGGTTTTTGCTGGAGCTTTGTCTTGAATTTCCGCTTTCCTTAAATGCAGTTATCTGCTCTGAATCTGCCGAGCAGCAACTGAATAACCCAAAAGGCTATATAGAGTTTAGTATCTGTGGAACACCTCGTCGGTGGGTGCTATCTGGTCGAGTTAAATCGGCTGAGCTTGCTCCACATGGCGGTGGGAAATTGGGGATATACACTGGTGGCTGTCATCGGGCAGGTGGCAGGATATTTCTCTTTTTCTTTCATTTTTTCCCTTTTCCTTTTCCGCGACCGAGAAGTGTGTTTTTCTTTTATGCTGCCACGCCCAGTATATCTCTCTGTGGATGTTGTTTTTGTATTTGTAATTTGATAATGCATTTGATTAAGGAAATGAAATTTTTATTAAGGCTGTTTGCTCATTCGCGTCGCTGGCATCGCGCCTTTGCTTTTATGATTTTCCCCGCACTTTGTGTGTGTGTGTGGGTTGGTTTGCCCTTTTTTTTTCTCGGATTTTCCTTTCCGTGCGGAGGTTCTGTTTTGTTTTCCCCAACTCGAGCGAATTTTCCCTAACCCTGCAGTTTTGTTTTCGTATAATTTCTTTGAGTGCGGTTTGGATCTTGGCAATTTTACGATGCGCCGCAGCCCGGTGGAAACCGTGTCGGAAAACGCCACTTTCCCTTTTCTATTATTCAGCACCGAAATTTGCATAGCTATGGTTAAATATATAATTTAATTTTTTCGCCTCACAATTCGGATTTGCATTGTATGGTACGTAGTACGTACTATGGGCTATGACTTTGTTAGCCTTTTGTTTGGACTTTCAGGTCGATGTTGTGTGTGTGTTAAGTGTGTGTAAGTTAATGTGTTGATGGACAGATTGACAGGAAATAAATAATGAATATGCCCAGGGGGGAATGGGATATATAATATAAAATCGGGCATTGTAATTGCATTTACATAACAAGCCGCACAAAAATGATTGTGTCGCGTTCCACATTTTCCCCAGCGGACGGGAGAGAATTTATCACATTCCTTTTTTTTGTTACATTTCCACGGCCTGGGACATGTCACGAAACGCGGCAAGTTGGGAAAAGCCAGCGTTTCGGCAGAGGAGTGCAATGGAATTCGTATTCAACACCATGGAAAACCCTTCGTGCGCTAACTAAGTGCGCTCATTCAACTCCGAAAAACAAACTTTAGCTATTGTTATTACATTTTTTGTTCACATTTTCACATTTTCACGCTGGAGTTGGTGTGGGAAATCCTCAGCTGGTCATTGACTTTCCAGCAACTTTCCGCTTGACATTTAACGAGCATGTTAAGTGTTAGAATGAAGCCTACTTTTCAGCGCTGCCCAGTCGCCATTTCACCCGGCAGTCCTTGTTTACATTATTTCCTTGTTTTTTGTTTTCTTTTTTTGTCCTCGGACAACAAAAGTTGCGTTGCCGTGTTATTCATCCCTTCTTAAAGCAACAAACTCAACGCTCCGCGGCTGTTTGGAAATCTGTTGGGTTTAAGCAAAAGTCCTTGCCGTATTGCACCCAGAGCAACATCGAAATGTGGGTCATTGGCTGTAATGTTGTTTTAAAGAGGTGGCCACATTTATTATTAAAATTTAATCAAGGCGAATTGTTTGTTAAGGGAACCAGATCAATGGAGAGGTAATGCAATAGCAGTACGAGTTTAAACCTTTTAAATAAAGGACATTTTGTGCTATTATTTTTAAGGAAATTATAAGAACGTGTTAAAATACTGTATTTTAGAGTTTTTTAAAAAGTATATCAATTTTTAGGTTGCTTTCATTTAAAAAACAAATTCGTAAATTTCTGTCGTGTATTTAGTTGAGGTTCGTTGTACAACTTGTTCGAACAGTATTGTTTCTATAGTTCTATTTCTTTTTAATTAACAGAGAACACATTTGACTTCGGATGCTTTCTATGTTATTTTCAGTATCCTAGTTTTCTAAAATTGTATTTCAAATATGCAAAAAACATCTTGAATACTTAAACACAATGCAAGTTACAAAATGTTTCCACTTTAGATATGCTTTTTCAAAAACAAAACAAAAAAATTTTAAGATAAGGAATTC